AAAAAGGTAAACATAGTGGTGGACGAGGAGGCTGAGTTTGACAGTGGAAGGACTAATGAGCGATTTGATGGTAAGAAGAGTATAGGCATATAATGGTAAATCTTTAAACAATAACCTGACCTTCTGATCCTTGGGAATATCAGAAGCAGGAAATGTTTGGGATTTTTATGTGTTATGTTTAAATTCTCTTCAGGGTCATTTTGGTTTGCTTGTATCTGTGATGTTGCAGGAAATAAGGATGGGATGAAGAGGGCTGTTATCCAAAGAATAACAAGCCAAAAAAAAACAAAACAAGAGGCAGCAGAAAGGTGTTACTTGTGTAATCTAAGTGGTTGGGTAAGAGGAACACACAGACCAGAGGGTATTTTCCTAATCATGTGTTCACACTGTTCATTTCTTTGTCGATTTAAACCTGAAGTTGAGATGAGCTCGGGACATTTTACCATTTTAAGCAATGGACCATCTTAGAAGGAAGGCTGTGGATGCTAAAGATATCACGGATGAATAAGCCAGCAATTTCAGTAGCCGGTGGAAGTTTTGAAAGAGCGACTAAATCGCAGGCTTTGGAGAACAACAATATTGAGAACAAATGATCTGTTTTTATATATCGAGAGATTGATAGAAGTCACTCTTCTTTGTTTGTAGCAGTTTTCCAGACGTTAGCTTGTGTACATTGCAGCCTAGTGCATAGCAAAAAGAGATAATGACTTTACATACTGAACTTTAGTTTTGATAACATTCAAATGCAAGTCAACGATTTCCATGACAATATCACAGTTAAATTTCACATCAATAGATTGGTGATGATAGTTTGAAAGACTACACAAGACGTTCTCAGATTTTTATTTGGTTCTGCCATCAGATACATGTACTGGTATATAACATTGGTATATATACTTATATGAGGTCTAGTGTGACGAAAATGGTAATTTTATCAGTGAATTACAGGACTGCTGTATGTGTGCCATAAAGCAGCGTTTTTTTCATTGCATGTTTTTTTTTTTGTTTGTTTTGTTTTTTCCCGGATCTGCACTAGACTTCCACAGCAGGAAATACACAAACACCACAGTTTTGTGTCTTTTTTAGTACTTCTGAACTTTAGGTGCAAAATGAGAAACCAAAATATCCGCAGTTGTTGCCAAAAGAGTACATGGTATATTGCCAGAGGATGGAGATATTCTGTGCACATATTTGGGTCGTCAAAAAAAAAATTGTATAATCATATGTGGCAAAAAAAATGTCTTTGCAGGGGGGCAAAAATTAATGCACACAAAAAAGGGAAGAGGGTGTCATTTCTTTACACTTTCGCTGCATCCATGTTCAGTGTGAGCGTGTCTTGCAGGTCAGTAACTCGATGCAATTAACTTGTTTTTCTCTATGATAGAAACTTTTAACCAATCTAACTGTATTATCTCTGTAAAGTGCCTTGAGATGACTTGTGAGTATGTACTGTATAAATAAACAAACTCAACTTAATTACAATGAAACCAAATTGAAAAAAATATGGAATATTTAGGCAAAAAACAAAAACAAAAAAAAAGGATATAAAGAGACATTAGGTGGGGGTGGGATGGGGGGGTACAACAGGTTTTTTTTTTCTCCCTCATTTAATAAATCATAACTTTGAATTAGGACATTTGCATTTGATATTCTTCTACTTTTGTCATTAGCACTTTGTAATAGGCTGCAAGGCACACTATATGTGTATATTATTTAGTATTGTAGATATTATGCATTAAATTATTGTCATTACTGTATTACCACCACTTCTATGAAAAAATTTCTTCCTTTTTTCTTCCATCTTCTGAACAACCACCCAATGTGTCTCTCTCTGGGTTTCTAGTTAATTCCAAAAATTCCTCAGCATTACCCTCTATTTCACCACCATGTATCTCAGAGCTCTAATCTCTCCCCGGATGTTATTTCCAGTTTGTCTATCCATCTGTAAACTGTGTTAAGAGGTTTTACCCTTTTATTCTGCATTTCTTCAAATCCAGGGGGCAAAAGTACTAGTAGAGGAGAATCCTCATTGTAAGACCTCCTTTTTCGGCCAAAGGTTAACCTTAGAGAGCCAATTTGGTTATTGGGTTAATGGTTACAATGATGGTTATTCGTTATTATTTTGTGTATATGTACTGTATCCACACTTGAAATTGACACTGACCATTGGTGGGGTCAAATGTATTTTTCTTTCTGTTTATGGCAGATGGTTAATGCCTCTTTACCATAATAAATACTTTCTGATTCAGTCTTTACAGCTGATTTAAAGTTTCAATTTCACTTTAATATAGAGGGATGTATTTAGTGGATGCTTTTGAATATCTTTAAAAAAAAATTAAACTGGATTGTCTTGGCATGCATTGCATTAATTCTATTAGAAAATGTATGTCGAAACTTAATACTCAATACTAAATTTGAGACCAATATGCGATTAAAAAATACATTTTCTTTTTTTTTATTGTTTTAATGCCTGTCATCATCAGATGGTATTGATATTTCCAAGTGTAATTGCAAGCTGTTTAATGTGACCAAATAAAATACTTTCAGTTTGAATGTTGTGTATTAAGATTAATAAATAATGTATTTAAGATTATTAAATAAAGTTGATATGGTTAGATTAATTAACTTACAATTTCATATTTAAATGTATGCACATATTACATCATTTTTCTATTATTTTGACACTGGAAAAAAAACTATATCAGCAAAGATATGATTTATCCTTTTTTCTGTCCTAGATAAAAATCTGTCACTCAAGTGTTCTTCATATCAACAGAATATGACAGACATTAAATTATTCATTATTAATTGAACTTGAAACTTGAAAAAAATTTTCTCAGTTTCTGAGTATTTGTAAATGATTTTTTATTCCTGTTCTGTTTAGCAGTTCTATGAACTTAACACCACGGAGAAGATAGCCAGCGTAATCCTGGAATAAACTTAAAGAATAACATCTTCTAACCACAATGTCTCACATGGAAGCATTGAAACTGACAGGGGCACCAACCCGTAGGTAAAGAGACATGCAGCAGATCCATTTCACCTGTCTGCACAGCGGTTGGCAGCTAACACTTTCAGTCACGCTGGGAAGGACTGACTCCTGCTGTCCAGCTAAAAACAACAACTGCTATTTCCCTAAGATATTATACTTATCAGGAATTTTAGATAACACCCTGTATGTAACATTTTGCATGATTAAGCACTTTGATTTTATGTTTTGCATGCAAATTGGTATAATTCAATTTAGGGTAACCAGAAGCCTGTAAAGTCAGTGTTTGCAAGAAGAAATGTTAAAATGGTAAATCAATACTGCTAGAAAAAGAAAGTTTCAATCTTTTCTGAATATCCAAAAGAGGGATTTTAATGCATAAAAACAAGTGTACAATCCTAACTGTGAGCAACAGATAAAACTCATATTTTAAAATATCTGGTTATGGTTTTATACTGGCTTTTGTTAGTCTGAAAATACTGTACCACCACTATCCGCTGAGCTCCGTATTCCAAGCTAATGCAGGTGAAGCCATCAGGGGACAGTAGGTTTTATAGTGTCTATTTTGCATTGCATTAGAAAGGTTATAAAAGATATATGATGCAACACAATGCTTGTGGGAGATTTAATCAAAACCAATACACAGACGGACAGAATGTTATCAAGCTGCAGAGAATTGTCTGCAACTACTTTTTGGTTCATAGAATTCAGAAATGACCAGAAACAACATTATCATCTGTTTTTTATTTGTCAGAGTTGTGTACATATTCTTGTGTTTGTGCATATATAACCTGCTGTTGCCTGAACATGCCCACTATGATCACACTCCCAGCAGGTGGGTATTTTGGCCCTTAATTTCTTGGGTTACTGTATGACCGAATACATATCCACACATACACTAACGCTCTAGGTCTCCCTGCTGTGAAGGGGTTGATTAGTGTGGGCTCCCCGCTGACATGAAAGCAAGGATCATCAAGTGCATTCTGGGAAGAAATAAACAAGGGAAATGTGTGTCTTGAAAGTGCTGTAGACTCACACAGATGCTGCCAAGCACATAGTAAAAGAGCTAACAAAAGCTAGCAGATGCTCTCACACATATGGTCCAAAATGTATTGACACAAGTAGCATGACAAGTTATGTGTATTGATTGGCTGGTAGATCCACACTGAGGGTGATTTGCAGATGACCGTACCTTGAACCTTTGCTGCAGTGTCCTCGGTATTGATATATTACAGCAAGAGGAGCACTTAACTGAATACAACTGAACAAAAAAGGAATCATATTGTGCTTGATAGGCAGAGGAGATGGGTATAAAGATACTTGGAAAAAATAAGGAAAAAGTTCACTGCTGAGACAGAGAGGGAAATAAAGACATAGGTGCAAAGATGCAGGAAGAATGGATCAGGCTTGGTGTCACTAAAGGTGATGTATAGAAGAGAGGGTGAGGAGAGTGAGCGGTCTTCTCTTTCAGCTCCACTAGTAATACCCCTTTCTAAATCATCACTCATATTTAATGGACAGCTACAACGGAAAGAAGGAAAAGGAGAACCCGTACCTCGTATTCCTCCAGCATGCACCCTACCCTGACATAAATAGAGAATGACACACATTAGAGACGAAGAGGCCCCGAGACTGAAAGGTGCCTGAAATGGGGAGAAGGATAGGGGATTGAAAGCAGGAAGAGTTCTTGAAGACTTGAGGGGCAACCAGGTGCAAATGTATCTGAGGTATAAGTAAAGTGCTTTTAGATTCACATTACCAGACACACAAAAGTGCTTTCAAAGTGGAGAGGAAATAACCCTCTTTCTTTTAATGCCCGTGTAATACAACCATAATATTCATCATTTTATAGAGCATATCATTCGTGATTTATTTCATACCAGACAGTAATTTGAAAACATGTTAAAAAGATTGTCTTCAAGCTTTATAAAATGCTTATAAAAAAAAAAAAAAAAAAGTTGAAGTTATGTTTTTTAAGAATATATGTGTAACATCTTACCCATATCTCCAGGCTCCGGTCTCAATGATGGCCAGTGGCATGCTGTACGTCTGGTGGCCAAAGAGAACTTTGCCATGTTGACAGTGAATGGCGAAGAAGCGTCCGCTGGGCGTTCCACCTCCCCTCTCAGCATCACTACGGGAGGAACCTATCACTTGGGAGGTAAGGGAGCCCCTAACACCATCACAGCAGGGTTGACATGCACAGTGCACCATTTCCTTTAAGCCCACAGCAGGTGACAGAAATACACCAAAGTAAAAGATGCTGGAAACAAAAGGCTTGAAAGCTCATTTGTACTTTTTACTCATTTTTTATTTCAGGGGTCCAGCTTCCACAAAGTAGTGTCTTCAGAGTTTTTATTAGAAGTGTTTAAGGATAAATTATGCAATGAATTACATTTTTTTATGAGAAAAAGACTGAAAAGAAATACTTATCTCTCCAGCATTTTTGTTTCTTACTTTAGTTTCTTAATTACATCCTATGCGAGAAGTTTTCATTCTGCTTGAATTTTTCACATTTTGTCACATAACACTTTCTTGCCACCATGTATTCTATTATAGCAAGTTTAAGTGCCTCCCTCTAACCACTGTTTGAACAGTCTAACAAAGAGAACTCAACTGCAGTAATACACATTGCAGTTAAGTAATCTAGAGTCTTATTTTATCATAAAATCACCACCTTTATAGTAGAACTATTATAAGTTCAACTGTTTATTATACTTTGTAATAGAATCCAGCATTGCCACTTGTAATTTCTTATATTCACATCAATTGGTCATCTATGCAGTTCATATCTACCAGCCAAAGTGCAAATGTGGTTCAATCAGATAAGCAACGTCTTTCAGATGCCTGCAGAGTCTGTTATTTGTTGTTGTCAAATGCATGATGGACTTTTAGTGGATTTTTTTTTAAAACAGTGGTTTTGTCCTCCACCTTATATGGACTAGCTGTCTGAAAGGCTAACTGCTTAAATCTTATGTCCTTTTGGATAATCGGCTAATGTCGAAAAAGACACAATGTATTCTTTCTGTCATTTTCTTTAGATAAAAATTGCAATAATACATTTGTTCCCATGATAACGTATCATCATTTTGTGGTCTTCTTTGTCTTTTTGCAAGTAGGTATGTCTGTATTACATGACTCATATAACACTATTGAAGCGTTTCCAGCTGAAAAAAACACTTAATGCTTGCAAAAAGTTTTTGAAAATTGATGCTTCCATTAATCAAATTCAACTCAGTTTATTTATACAGTGCCAATTCACAACCAGTTGGTTGTAACCACTCATTGACTTGCAAGACTTGCTCCTCTTGGATGAGCTTGAGGCGATGAATTTCGCTTGCATGTTGTCATTGACTCTTCAGCAATCCCTCAAACTTAATCAAACTTATATTTATAATTACAATTTGCACAACTTCATGGTCGATGGAGACAGCTACTTATTCTGTTCCTGGTTAGTTGTTGAGTTTCAGTGTACAGACATGATTTAAGCGATCTTCTCTTTAAATTAAACAACTGAACAATGTGAGATGTTCAAAACTCACAAACCTGGTTTCCTAGCCATGACCTGCCATGTTTTTTCATCCACGTGTTGCTCTACGTAACACCAAAATCTTTCATTCACATAAAATTTTCCCAAAGTACAATACGGTTTTGTTGTTTTAATGTACCGGTAATAAAATGTGAAACATTTCAAGGGATGTGAATAATTATGTAAAGCTATTTATTCTGATCATATTAACTATCATCCCAAAACTACTTTATTAAAAAGACAGGTCTTTCACAATTTTTGCCTACAGTAAATGATACCATTAAATTTTGCTGCTGTGGATATTTTCCCCAGTAAAAACAGTTCAGCAACTTATAATCCACCACAGATCCACCCATAGAGAGCATGGGCAGCATCTTTAATCTGTCTGAATTAGAAGTATGCCGGGTTAATGACGCCAGACACTGGTATCTGTCTGCTAAACGATGTGGGTGCAAGTGGGCTCTGTATGAAATTACAGTAACTGAGAGAGATGCTGTGGGTCTGATTGCTCCATCATGCCTAGGTCTCTTCTCCCTGGCACAGCACAATCTCCTCAATCAAGAAAGCTCTTTTCCTCAGACTAGTCAATAAGCATCAGGGCACTATACACAGACACACATACACACACACACATCAAGGTCCTTTTACATTGTTGTCTGTTTTAATTTATTACTCACTAAAGTTGAATGATTGTTTCAACTCCATTGTGACTCTCACTTTTGTCAGTTTGCAACTCTGTGAGCCTGAGTGTAGCACTAGTTTTAGCAGGTTCAGTTCTTTCTTTTTTTCCTTTTTGATTTGATCAGGGTTTTCTGCAAAGGCTTACACTTAAATCCTTAACAGTCCTTCATTATTATGCTTCAATCTAGTTTCTCTTTCTATTCCACGTCTGTTTTGTCTGGTCTCTCCCCTTTCTTTTCCCTCTCATCTCCAGTCTCTATTTTGATTGAATTAGTGATTGATTGATTTTAGTAAGCAGAGCTGTGAATCGATAGAGGCTTGGAAGAGAGGATATCTGTAATGTCTTTACTCCTTGAAGAGGGCATTGGAGGAAGATGAATAAAGTAAGAACGTCTGCAAAGATAACAGAAGAAATAGTAAAAAAAGGGAATTATATATATATATATATATATATAATTTTGCTCCAAAAACAAAATGATATTATAATTTTTATCACAACTTATCACAGCAAATATAGCCTAACAAAGACACTGTAATTGAACACAAGAGCAGCACAAGGATCAGATGCTTCCGTACAAACTTTACTTGACGTGGACAAGCATCAAAAATGAAGCAACAGATGCTTCTTTGCTGCTCAAATCGAGTTCTGTATAAATGTAGCATAATACTTCTGGACTTTTTTTTAGGCCAATTCTGAAGCTGTCAATAGTCACTGCTTCCTCCCTCTGGTTTAGGGGGGAACTGTTTCTTCTAACAAATAATGTTAAAGAATCCTTAATAAAAATTCGCCATGCGATTATGATGTGGATCGTCATCAGAATTTAAAGGATTTCGACTTGGACTGAGCTGCAGCTTTGGTAAAAATGTCATTAAAATTCGTTCAGAAAAATAAATACACACAAACTCGACTAAAATCATACCCTCCTTGTGGAGATAACAAGTTAGAGCAAATGTGGAGGATAAGATTCATATAAAGATTATTACATGCATGATTTATGTGTATTTCATAAGAGGAATGTGTGTTTATTGTGGTATTGCTTCACTACCATGAAAAAAAGATACTGACATTGATTTATAAAATCTATGTCTAATATATTCTAGATAACTTGTATTTATACACTTAATGTATCTCTACAATTCAGAGGAAAACAAACATTTGTTTGTGGGCTTTTCCCTAAAGGCAGAGGCAATATGAGGGCTGAAATAGCAGCAGCTGGGACTGGGGCTTTACTTGTTAATTTTACATGATATGATGAATGCTGAAGAGCTGTGAGCCTGATGATAAACACAAGTTTGAAGGCTGCAGGGGATACAAAGCTGTTGACTATTACTACAAAGCAATTGTTAGGACACCGATTCTCAGATTTAGAGGGAAATTTAGGAAGACAGTTTTGTACCATTTAAACATGAAATATCTACTGTTTCAAATATGTAAGACATATTTTGATATGAATTAAAACTAGAAACCAACAACAAAGGACAATGTTACCCTGTCCCCTTTTTTGTCTTGTCCAACAAGTTTGTTGGTCTGATCCTGTTGTTTATCACCTCGTCACTGCATTTGTCTCACTCTGCAAACTTTGTCACTAACCTGCATTGCAAATGGAGGGGGAGCAGTATTATCTAAGAATGACGACTTTGCACATACGATACATGGTTTACATATAAAGAATAACCTATTGCATGGAGAAAAACAAGTACAAGTGAGCACTTACCCTTCTGAACAGCTAGAGCAGTTTTTTTTTTTGTTTATGGCAGGTTAGGTATATGTGAATCCTTAAAAAAGGACATAAAATTGTTACAATAACAATTAATCTTCCAATTATTAACATGACTGCACATATCAGTTATTTTAATTGTCTATGGCTCATCTTTGGCCGAAGAACAGAATCAGAAACAGCACATCAAGGAATTAGAATTTAAAAAAGCATCACTACATGAAATTCTGGAAGTAGCTAATTTCCCATTGCATAGATGGAACTGCTATCCCACAGGTCAGATTTGCATCCTGCAGCTTAATCAGCTATGTGCATGGACTGTTAACGCAAACTATGTCTTCAAAACTGCCAACATGCAGCAGAGCGGGCAGTTTAGCCAATTTAAGCTGAAAACAAGGAAAAGAAGGAAACAGTTATTAAGCAACTTAACATTAGGTCTTGTTTGCTTGTAGTTTGACCCCATTTGAATATATTGCATGCAGACTAGTGTGTGTAAACTTGACCAGTTACACATAAGTCAGAAGTGGGTGAGACACATACTCTTTCTACCAGTGTTCCGGATTTATTTCTGTTTTGTTAATGAGGTTTTAAGGTTCCTTTAATGGAATTTTCAATCTTTATTATTTTCCCAGAGAAAATACCTTAATATTTCTCTAATGCTTTGATTTTTTTCCTCCAAATTTGCAAAGTTTTATTAATGGTAAAAGGTGAATTATCTGTGTACGGCTGTTAAATAGTTTTTATTATTTAAGAGTATATTCTGAAATCACAGTACTTGTGGGTCCTGTATTCGGTTTTTAATGCTACCGAAGTAAACTATAGGCATATAAATGAAATGAAAATGAACATAATGAAAACTTAGTTGGTTTCTTCAAAGCCAGAAGAAAGCGATTGCCTTCACTGCGACTGCCTCTCCCCCTGTTGGTGTCAACTATTTTATGAGATTCCCCTTGAATTTCTGCAGCATTGATAAGCCTCTTCTAGCATTTAAGCCTACAGTAAGACTAAACAAAGTCAGGGACCTTTCACATCGGAAATGCACATTTTCGCAACTTAGACGCTAGCTATAAAGAATACTAAGTTGTTGTCGCTGTGCAAATTAGCTGCTAAAAATATCCACTTCTTCTCAACTTTGAGCAGAAATGATCATACCCTGTATCACATCAACGCTCTGCTGATCGGAGAAAGTAGGCTTGTTGTTTACTGGGGATGAGCAGCTGAATCCAGGTGGGC